TCCTGCATTGGTCTTTTTTAAAAGCTGGAAAGTGGTGATCTTTGCAGAAACAGTGGAAGTGAAGGAAGGATTTTGTCAAATTTTGGTTTCCCTGGTTACGATCTTTAGAAGATTTAGAAATTTCTGGGTTTGCCTTTACCTGCTTGGCTGCTTCGTCGTGGGGGCAGTGTCGGGGGGAGGCTTTTGTGAGCGAAAGCATCTTGAGCTCTCTTTGGGTTGAGAGGAAAGAGACAAGTAACCCTTTCTCATTATTGTCATTTTGTAAATTGAAGTAGAAAGGATGCATTATCTCTCAAGGGGAAAATTTATCGGATCTGAAAACCTAACCGATAGAAGGCTAATAATAGTTTGTGATTAGCTTGAGCTGTTTTGACTCGCTTGAGAGAAAAGCAGAGATACCTATTGCCTTGAGTTTAGTTTTCAGTTATCCAGTGTTAACTGATGACCCAACAGATTCAACAGTACCATGTATTTTGTGGGAGGAATACAAAAAAAGTAAAATAATTTAGTAATTAAATATTAATTTTCTTTTCAATTTTTGCTTTTTAATCTGAGTCTTATGAAACTTAAGTTGCAAGTGTTCAAGTTCAGTAAGAGATCGGTGGCTAAGAAACACTAATAACACATAGTGCAGCTCAGGAAATGTTTGCTAAAACTTTTGTATAGCATTCACATGTAATCGTGCCTGGTATATAGTCAACGATATAATTGTTGAATGAATAAAATAATGCGGTAATTTGGAGGTGTTATACATTTTGGGGGTATAACTGAAAAAAATTTTAACCTACTTTCTGGAATCGACTTTCAATTTGTTTGAACTAAATTTATTTGTTGATTCCAATTTATACATACAAATGATATTAAGGATAGGTTCATATTTATTTTTGTGAGGTCTTTTTATGAGATCGTACTATAAAGAAATTTAGATAATGAAGATGAGCTCTAAGTGATAATGTTTTATTTGCCATTTTTTATTGAAAGCATACAATCTCAGTTAATGAATACCAAACTGATCAGTGTCTTACATCTCTTCTAAAGAAAATTTATTGCTTTTCTAGTTTTTTTAACACGAAGTCAAAATACTGCAACTTTAAATTTACTATATTGCATAAATAAGTTCTGTAATTTTAAATAGATAAGTAATTTAAAAATAAATTAGATATCTTTAAATTTTTCTTAAAAGAATACAGTTCTCTAGACTTAATATATAATCTGAAGATTCTTAGAAATTTTTTAAAATATCACTTGCATGAACAATGTTAAGGGACTTCAGTTAAAACGATTTAACTTAGATTGGTATGTTAGAGATTATTTTTCATTGCAATCTCATATACAAATTTAGATTTTTTCCCATTATCAAGTGGTGCACTCTTTAATTATAAAAGAAAAACTTTAATAACACCCTTTAAATGAACGTGGTATTTTGTGACAGAATGTAGATTATGATCTATTTATATAAATCAATCAAAGCTGCTCTCAGAACTTGTTTGGAATTCTTGCATTTGGTACTTTAAAAACCTAAATGTTTTTGTGAGTGAAGATTTTAGTGTGATTATGAGCACTCTTTATTAAAACAACATTCAAAATGTGAAAGGTCTACCCCTCCAGTAATGAAAAACCAAATTGCAAATGATAATCATTCTTTTAAAAATAACTTTTGAAGTACTAGAAATACTTTGTTGTGCTTTATAATAGTTTTCATCACATAAATGTCACTTGGGGGAACATTCTGAGACTAAGTTTCAGAGATATTTCTCTTTTCCTAATTTAGTGCATTTTGCCATCACTTTTCTGGTCTTTAACCAATGTGGTTCAATTATGGGGATAAACAATGTGACTAAAAATAAAAAAGATTTAAAACAATATAAATATCAAAATTACCGCTACAGTTTGTGCTGTTCAGGTAATCAATGAAATTTATTGAATGCCTGAATCGTGAGTATGTCCATTAACTACTGAAAATGCTTGTGAGATAAACACTTGGAACATTCAGATCATTTTACTTAAAGGATAAAACATTTAAAGTCTTTTATATGGCTTTTTTTAAAGGATGGAGTAATTGAAACACTAGCATTTTCCCTTCACTATAAGGGCTCCTTTTATAATCTCATTTGCTCCTGGCGATTAAACTGTCATTTTTGTGCAAATGAGCCCTAAATCTCTGACAAGTTCTGCTTTCTTTAGTACTCAATACACATTACTCAAAGCCTTTTGGACAATTAAATCTACTCCATTTGTATACTACTCTCTCCCTCTTGTGTGTTTTCTATTTTGATTAAATGGCTTAGATTTAAAATTTGAAATTCTTACCTCTCCCTTATTTCCCAACTGCATAATCGGTTGCTCAACCTCCAAAATGGTTTTTCTTTTCAGTTTTCTACTCTTGCTGCTACTGCTCTAATTTAGGCCCTTTTCTTTTTTCTTAAAAGCGTTTATGTCATTGTATTATTGACAAAGCCCATATTCTTCAACTTAGAATTTGTATTAGTTAAGATACAGGTTTGACTGCTATAACAAACTAAAAAATAATTGCGGCCTAAATTTTTTTTTTTTTTTTTTTTTACCCTGTGTAAGAATATGAACTGATGGGGTCACTTTGCTACAAAAAGTTGTCAAGGACCCAAGATTCTTCTAACTGTTGTTGCTCTACTATTCTTATCATGCAGCTCCATCTTGTGGACCAAGATGGCTGCTTCTCACCATTATATTGCCACATGCTTACATTAAAGGCTAGAATGTATTCTGGTTGGGCACACGAAATATTTGTTAAGTGATAGTAGGAGTAGAATTTTTATTCTCTAATTTTAGAAAGCTATTTTTTGTTTTATATTTTAAGTAATAACTTCATTTCTGTTATGATTTCATGATGGTTCTGTTAGATTTCTACACTCTTATTTGGGAGGCCACAATGCTTGTGGACTGTATTATCACTTGCGGACCTAGGGACGACTCTGTACTTTGCCTTTCTCTGTAAAAATGGTTTCCACTCTCCAAAATTACTTTCTTTTGAAAGTAATTGACGCCTATCTCAACTTCTTTCGAAGTATAGACAATTTTATTCAATTGCAATCTCTACTTACACTATACTCAAATTCTTCATTTGTATATATATTACTTTGTGGGAAACAGAATAACTTCTTGGAAGGCAAGAGGCCTTGAGTCTGGTGAACACATGTTTGCACGCAGTTGTTATTGGATAATTGTTTGCTCATTTGAAGTATATTTCATATTTCAAATAGAATAAAGAATTGAGTGGGGAGGTCAGAGATAGCCCTATCTTGCTGTGTATGTAAAGTGTGTTTTGTTCCTTTGGGGAGTATATTCATCTCTTACAAATAAAAATGTCAGTACCCTGACAAAACATGAGCAAGATACATGAACTCATGATCACAGAAGAACAAGCACAAATGGCTTGTGTAAAAATATTTAACTTGTAGTTGAAGAAATATTTAAACAAAGTAATTTGTCATACATCAAGAGGCAAAATATGCATACTCTTTCACCCTTTATAAAAAATTTCTGTGGAAATGGAGGTGGAGTCAAGGCTTCATGATCACAGCATAATTTCATTCTTGTGAAGAAGTGGAAATAATATGCAATGGTTGAAAAATGGTTTAACAAAATATGGCACACCAAAGATAGGCTACATTTTATGATAGGCCATATTTCAACCTTTTAAAAGGAATATTTTCAAAGGAATATAGGCTATTGTGATATAGGCTATTTAATGACAAAGGAATATAGGCTATTGTGATATAGGCTATTTAATGACATAGGAAAATGGTCACCATTAAATGAGAAAAATGGAATAATCATTGAAGAAAAGCAAATTAAATCACAGTGAGATGCCATTACAATATATCTTAAAATCCAC